CGGGAGGCTGCGGGGAGTTACAAGAAAATAAAAATTCCTGCAGAGACAAAGGTGTGCGGCTCTCCCCCGGGGCCAGACCCAGGTCGGGGCACGCGGAGGAGTCACCTCCGGGCAATTTTGGGGTTAGATTTGGTCAGCGAGCACCTAACAGGGAGCAGGTGAAAGTGAACCCAGGCTGGGGGCAGGGTTGGCCTCCCTCCCTGGCTAATTAGCGCAGCTGATTCACAATCGCTAATTTGCCATTTTAGGTCACGGGTCAAAGAAATGAAAGGACAGGAGGGGGAAAATGGATAAAGAGCCTGAGCGAGAGGTAGCCCCCTTCCCCTCCAGCTCTTTGCATAGCAGGAACATACTGGAATGGACTGGGATCAGCCTGAGCCTGCCCCAGCCCGGAGCAGGATCCAGCCCTGGGCATCCCGGGAAGCCAGGCAGCCGGGCAGGGACAGACTAGGACCAACGCAGGAAAAAGGCAACACCGAGGTGCTGCCCAGCCACCAGCATCTCTGGCTGCTGCTCTCCTGCCGTCAGGGTTTAAGGGCCATCGCTTAACGTGCAAAGGGAACGAAAAAAAACAAAAAAAACAAAAAAAAAAAAAACAAAAAACCAACCCGTATTGATTTGCCCGAGGCTCCGTGGAGCAGCGAGACCGCACGAGTTTCTATGGAAACAAAATTAGTCGAGTAAAACTCACTGATGGCACGGTGAATTATTTACCAGGACAGGCCCCTGGCTGTTAGGGTCTGGTAAAAAGATGGAAAGGTGATCACTGCACGGGCGGCTGGCAGCCCCTTCCCATGGGGCACGAAACCACAGCCGGGGAGGAGGAAAGCCCCTGGGTTTCCACACCAGGTGCGTGCGTGGTGAAACCCACGGGGGATGCTGCGGGGACCCACGCAGGGAGGTCCTGCACCTCCGTCACCCCGTCTGCAGCTTCGGGGGTCCCCGGGGAGGGGATGGGGGGGGGGGGCACAAGAGGGAGGGGCAGCACCGGGGACATTGTGATGAGCAGACAGGAATAAGGTGGAAGAGGAGAGCCGCAGGCGGCCCGAAGCCGTCGCTTTCCCGTGATTTTGCTTTTTTAAGACAAGTGGATTGTACCAACGAGCAGGAACGCAAGCGCAGGGACTCGGCCGCGCTGGTCATCGACCGGCTCCTGCCCTGCCCTCCAGGAGGGCGAGCGGGGTGGGAGAACCTCTCCGGGGCATCCGAGGGAGCCCCGGGGCCGTCCTGCGGGTATTTTGGGTGCAGAGGTAAAGCAGAAGACACGAGTCTGCCCTCCCAGGCGGGACCCTTCGCTTCCCCCTTCCTCCCCAGCCCCTCGCTACGTGGCACGGCAGCGCGACGTGGCATAAAGCCAGCGAAAAGGCTCCTGCCCGACGCGTGCCTGCCGCGCCGTCGCTCATCCCCCGGCACCCAGGATGAGCCCGCGCTGCCCCCAGCCCCACGCTGCCTCCTCTCAGCACGGGTCGCTGCGAGCCAAGACGGAGGGGAAGAAAGGGACTAATTAAGTTGCAAATGGAGGAGCTCTGGGTTTTGGGTTTGGATTTTTGGGGTGTTTTGTTGGGGTTTTTTTTTGTTTGTTTGTTTTTTTAATGAGTCACTAAAGCCATGTGGCTGATGCAAGCTATCCCGCGAAAATGCCGAGCCGACAATTCGGGCGCTGCCGTACCCTCGTTGTCCTGGGACACGGCGTCACACTGTAATTGCGTCGGTCTTTTGTCCTCCCTCGCGCCGGGTGACATTGCTCAGCGGAGGAGAACCTGCCTGAAACGCTACACCTCGCCAGGGACAGACACTTAATTAACACCAATACGTCAGGCCCCTCCTGCCAGCCTCAAGAACAGGCTCCTCCATCCCCGGCACAACGGGGCTCGCGGGGGAGGGAAAAGCCCTCGACAGCCAAAATACCGAGTTTGCTCCGTTCCTTCTGCTCCGTCGCATCAGAGGTTTATACAGAAATTATACGGGATGCTAACCTGGATTTGAAGCCAGGCCAATGCTCAGAGAAGCTCTCAGTCGCCTTTCCAGCTCAGCAGCAGAGCCTGCTCCCGCGCCAGCACAGCCCTGTTTCTCGGGGGCTCGGGGCACCCAGAGCCCCCAAGCAGCACCTCTGGTCACTGCCCCCTTTGCTCACCGGCCACTTGCTGTGCCCAGCCACCAAACTAAGTCACGTTCTTCTTCCAGATCCCATCTCACTTCTGTTTAGTTACTTTTACGCCTGCGTAATTAATTCAAGTACAACCCCATCACCGTCCCGTCCCAGCTGCTCTGCACTGGCCTGACCGTGGCAATTGCCACCCACGGAGGTTAAAAGCCACAAGGATTTTATAAACAACAGTTTAGGCTCCAGGAGCCTGGGAATCCTCCCCGAAGGCTGTCCCCTGTCCCCACCACTGCCTTACACCCCCAGCACGTGTGGCCCGTCTCCATCAGCCAGAGTTCCAGCCACCATTTGCCCCTACCCATGCCCAGCCTGGCTGCACGGAGGTGCAAGGAGGAGCACGGGCAGGGTCCTGCCCAGGCTCCTGGTCCTCCTGTCCCCTCGGAGATGGCACCTGGAGGTGAAGGCAGGGCTGTGCCCCGTGGAGGAGGATGCTGGTGCAGCCCACGGTACCTCCCCGCGCTCCCCGGCTGCTGCAAAGGTTGCGCTCGTGTGCGTTCAACCGCTGCCCAAAAGGGTGGTGGCAAAAAAAAAAAAAAAACAAAAAAACCAAAAACACCAAAACACTGTTTTAACGGACTCCGTAACCGAGGCAAATATTAAAATCAGCTTTGAGCCTGAATGTCACTGTAACACAACTAGCAGCGTGCCTCGTGCCATTTTCTGGAGACGACCTGCCTGTTTTCCCCCTGTTGAAGCCCTGCCTTCCTACGCCAAGGACAGCGGCAGGGCTCTGTGGCCGGCGTGACCGCGGGCCCGGCTCCGTGCGCCTTCCCCGGGGAAGCGAGCGAGGGCAGGGATCGAGAAGCTGTCAGGCAGAAGGAAGAAATACCACTTCCAGGAGTCAGAGCTCATTTCCCAGCAATAAAAGCAGGCTTGGGGCTGGGGGAAAGCACCGCTGATGGGGACGCCCATGCCGCACCACTTCAGCTGCCGATCGGGACGGACCTAGGGGCCGCAGCTTGGAAAAATAAAAGCCACCAAGAAATGCTTGGTTTTAAGGAGCATAGCCCTGGATTGGGCTCAGAGGGGCACGTAAACGACCTGCCCTTCCCCACAGGGATTACTGCTGTGGATGATGCCCTCCACATGCCAGCCTCATGTCCCCGGCTTCTAGCTACAGCTCCTCCAGCAGATGGGAAAAGAAAATGTTATTGCTTCCTCCGAGGGAGGGCAATTGCTCAGATCAGCATCCTCCTTTAATCTCCCCCACCCTCCCCTCCATCCTCTTCAGCCCCGTCATCCCTACTCCACCCACACACCCTCCTCTGGGGACCTGAGGAAGGGCCAGAGTATCCATCACTCATAAATGCCACCTAGAAACGAAGACCCAAGTTGTGCTTCCCGGAGTTATTTGCGGGTAGATTTTTATCTCCTTTTTCATCTATTCTTGGTGCGCTTTGGCGAGAAGGGTCCTTACCGGCGAGCTGACAGCCTGCCTTCCCTCTGCCAGGCTCACACACCACGGCGGCAGAGGATGCGAGAAAGACGGTTTTTCTCCCCAAAACAAACCCCAGAAGACACAGGCAGAAGCGCCAGCGATGGGGACATGCCAGAGCCCAGCCCCGCACAACCGTGGCAGGAGGGGACGGTTCCTTCAAGGCAGTTAGTTTGGGTTTTAAGACACTTGTTTGTTTGCTTGTCGCTGGGCAACCAAGAGGATGGAAAAAAATATCAATGTCATATTGTCACCTATGAGTCACCGTTCAGCACGGGCCGAGATGCCCCGTCCCTCCCGCCACCGAGCACGGGACGGCCAGGGAAGATCCCGAGACACCCCAAAAGCAGCTCACCCCAGCTCCTGCTGCCTGCCCTGTCTTGCCCCAACGCCTTTCCCAGCCCTGCAGCTGGGGACACCGATGGCCCGGGGACATCGGTGGCCTAGGGATAACTTTCCAGGCCTTGGAAAGCAGCGCAGGAATTTGCATTTCTATTTGCATTTCCTAATTACGCCTGCGGGTTTCCTGGGGCAGCGGCTGGCTTTGGTTTCCATGGCAGGTTTTGTGCGGACCCCGAGAACCGAGCGAGGCACAAAGGGGCCACAAAGGACCTGCCACTCACCCGCATCAAAGGCGGCCAGCGCAGTGGGACGGGGGCACCGCGGCTGGGGACACCGCAGCCTGCCCACCCCCCAACCCCGGGACGGACATGGGGACCCCCCCCAGGCAGGGGAAGAGGCTGGACACTCATGGGACACTGGCGGTTTTGGCACTGCCGGAGCAGCAGTGGGGACATCGTCCAGAGGTGACAGCCACCCCCGTGCCCATCAGAAGTGATGCAGGAGCCAAACCCAGATGTTCCCCCTGTTCTGGTGTCCCGTTATTTTCAGCCGGCTTTCCATGCAGCTGGCGTGGGTTTCTTTCCCCTTCCAACTTCCCTATTTCATTTAGGGACTGGCTTGCCGGCGAGGCTCCCTGCCCCGGCTCACCTCGCACGCTGCTGTGCCCACCCAGCTCCTGCGCTGACCCCCAGGGAACCGGCAGACCGGCCAAAACGGGGACCAAGGCCTGGGAAAACCTGGCTGCTGAACCGCTGCTGCGAGCCCAGCGCCACCGAGCAGAGGCGAGGCTCCAGCCGACACCCCCCCCGTACCCCGGCGACGGTGACAGAGACGCTGCCACCCCGGCCACGGCGCAAAAGAGGGACCCGCTGCCACCCCGCGCACCCGCGAGGGGCTCCGTGTTATTACTTCAAGCATTTTTCTTATTTTCTAATGGACAATTATCATTATTAACTCACGCTGCCCAAAAGCTTCCCAGCCCTGACCACGAGCACCCCGCGACACCAGAGGGTTATGGCAGCAGCCCCCCTCCCTGCCGGTCCCACCCCAGGATTTTACCCTCACGGCACAGACACCGGCCACGGGTGACCCTCCAGCTCCTCTCCCGGCCATCCCCTCCGAACGCCAGCGTCCGCAGCACGCTGCATCCCCCGTTATCTTCGCCCCCGCAGAGGATGTTTGTGCAGGCAGATAAGTACCGAGCGCTCGCTATCGCACTGGGAAGCCCTGCTCGCTCCCCACGCGCTCTTATCAGCCCGGAGCGGAGGGGGAACCACAGTGCCCACGCCGCCACAACGGCAAAGCCCACTCAGCCACGCCACGGATCCGGTCTTGGGAAGAGGTGAAGTGTTGGTGCGCAGGTTAAGACGCTGTTTTGTTAGGCTTTTTTTTTTTTTTTTTTTTTTTTTTAATTTGAAAGCTCTTTTTTAACAAAACGCTGAAAAAATCAAAACTTCCCTGGGAACTTTGTGGCTGGGAAGAGGATGGGGCGCCTTTGGCCTGTCTTTGGAGGAAACACTTTTGGCAATTAGAGGCTCCAGCATCGGGAAGGGGCTGCGGGCACACAGGGATCGGTGTGAGAGGCTCTGCCGGCATCAGGCGCATCCTCACCACGGCAGAGACAGGCACGGCCGGGGGTGGTCCGACGTCGTGGCGAGGAAGGCCACAGGAGCGGGGCACACAGTGACAGGGAGCGATGAGAAAAGGACAGCGAGCTGGCGACGAGCTGGGTGTCCTCTGCCGTGAGGGCTGCCAAAAGCTTTCCTCCAGCCCCAGCGCCGGCCCATCTCCCCTCCCAGACGTGCACAGCTCCCCCGGGGTCTCGCTGCCCCAGGTGCCGGGCTCCGGCCGGACGCTTCCGTGGGAAAAATCTTCGTGAAACTCATCAAAAACCTTCGCAGAGGAGCAGATGCCGCTTCAACCCGCATCGTTAGAGATGAAGGAAGAGGAGGAGGTGAGGAGAGCCACGGTTCCCCCAGCCATGGGGCAGCCCCGCCGGCCAAGCCCCAGCCTCAGGGGTCAGCCCAGGATGGCAGCTTTCCCCCGCAGATATCCTCACTGCTCCGTCCCCCATGTTTGTTGTCGGTGGCGGCAGCAGCAGGAGGTGTGAGGAGGAGGTGCGATTCCGCTGCTTTTTTAAAAAAAAAGCTAATAAAAGGGAGACTTTCCAACCCGCCTGACGAAAGAGAGAGTGCATGAGAGCACTTGCTCTGAGCAGGGGCTTCCACCGGCGAGGCAGCTCTCCTCCATCGCCCTTTGCCGGTAATTTCAGCGCCGGTTGGGGACCCCAGGCGGGGAGCAGCCTGACGGGCCGCTGCCCTCCATCCTCACGGGGAGAAGCGACTGGGCACCTGCCCGGGGCTCCCCAAGTCACCCCGAGCCCAAGAGGTGACCACCAAGGAACCCGCTTTGGGCGAGCCAGGGCCCTGCCGCGGCTCCCACGGCGGCAGAGAGGCGTAAAGCGCGTCGCCCCACGAACCGGGGGCGAGGGGAAGAGGGTGACATCCCGCAGTGGGGAAGCCACCCAAACCCCAAACCCCAACCCTAAAAAAACCCCCAAACCTTGCCCACGCACCGCCGCGCTCCGGAGGAGGGTTACGCTGCCGGCAGCCCGCTCCTACCCCACCACCCCGCTCCCGGCCCCACGCTTCCCCCTGTACCCCCCCCCAACCCCCGGCGGGGCGGCGGGCGCACCCCACACCCCTTCCCTCAGGGCTGTCGTCGTCGTCCCCCCGCCACCCCCGGTTCCCGGCGGGAGCGGGGCTCCAAGAGGGACCGGAGAGGAGAAGCGGCGGAGGCCAGGCCCTGCCGGGCTGCGGGTTCATCCAGCGCCCGGCTCCGGGCGGGGAACGCCGGGGCAGCCGCAACAGGCGCGGCCCCCGCACCGGGCCGCGGTGGAGCTCCAGCCCCGGCGGGGCCCGCCGAGCTCCGCGGGCCGCGTAGGCCGAGAGGCGCGGCCCGGCCCGGCCCGGCCCGGCGCACAAAGAGCCCCGGCCCGCCTTCCCTCCCCCCGCATCTCCCCGCTACCCCCGCTACCCCTTACCGGCGGTCGGCGCCGCGCTGCGGGGGCGGCAGGCACCAGTCACGCCGGGAACCATGGAAAAGAACCGGGACGGGAGACGTACGTGGCGGGCGGGGACGGGGGCGGCTGCCGTACCCGGCAGCTGGGGGCGGCGCGGCGGGGCCGGGGCCGGGGCCGGGGCCGGGGCCGAGGTGGGGGGGGGGGGGGGGGGGCGGTGGGAGCGGGGCCTAGCGGCGGCCGGGCCGAAATGCAATGGGGACAAGGCCGGAGGGGGGTCGCTTGCGGCCGCCCCCTCCCCGCTTGGGGTTTGGGGAACCCTTTTCCCCGGGCTGGGGTGTCCCCGCTTTGGGGGGGTGGGTGTGGAGGGGTCGGCACTGCTCGGTCCCCTCTGCCCCCACGGAGGCCTGACCCGCCACCACCCTGGGTTTCCCCAGCCGTGGGGGAGAAACAGCCCCAATTTGGGGTCTGGGGAGTGGGGGGAGGATCACACACGCACACTCAGCCCCCCCAGGCCATGGCTGTGCCTTCGGGGTCCAGCACCTCAGGCCCTGGGCAGCCCCAGCACGGAGCAGCCGTCCCCCCGGGGAAAAGCTGTTTGGGTTTTCAGCCTCCTCCACACCTTTTGAGCGTCCCAGGATCCCGGATTTTGGACCACCAGCCCCGTGCATGCCTCCGGTAAAGAAGAGGACGCACCACGCCTGCCCCAAGGGCTTGAACACGAGAGACGGATTCTAACAAAGCATCACTTCGACCGCAGATAGAAAGCAGCCGTCTCCGGTATCCAGCGCTACAGCGTCTGACAGCTTGCAGCCATACCACATAACAGCTCAGGACGGGAAGTGATCTCCTCTTACAAATTACAGGAGCCAATTTACACAGGGCAAACACTTCCCATTTCGCAGAGACCAGAGCGAGACCGCGAACGGCAGCGGGTCAGGGCCTCCGCTTCTCTCGTAGCTCTCCAAACCCTTCCGGACACGTTGCGGGGGGAATAGCACACCTCCGGGCACCCACGGCCGGTAAAAGCGGCTGGGAAGCACGGCTGTGGGTGCCGGACCCCGAGCAGGCGCTTGGGATGGTCCAAAGCTCTCGCGGGACGGCCCTCCGTGCAGAGGTTTTTCCCCACTCAATGGTTTCATCCGTGTCTGGCAGCTAAGCGGTCCTTAGCCTGGGTAAAAATCTGAAAGGCTTTGACAAGGAACACAGACATCAGTAAGAGTGAAAACGTTCGCGGCAAACCTTCGGCTTCCAGGGCGTACACGTGCCACAGCATTCGCTTTCCCAAAGTTAAATGCGGATCAGCATCTCTTCCCTGACACAGCGCCTTGCCGTGCACTTTGTTGACTGCAATCTCTTTTCCTAAGCCAGGCTTTGGGGGGAAAACAGGTGATGTTATCAAATGTCTTTACTGTCCTTTGGTATGGGTCTTAGCTGCTAATGACGCTAGGAAGTAAAAAGAAACGGGAATAGAAATACACAACTATGAGGAATTAAAATAGTGAATTTAATTCAGCCAGTTCCAACTAAATTGGCAATTCCCTGAAAAACAAACCTTGTGCAGAAAACAGAACACGTTTTTGTCTTGACAGCTGGTGAGAACAACTAAGTGAAGAGGCTAATGGAGTATTCCTGCCTTCTCTAAAAATCAAAAGGTTCCACACATTCTGAAAATGCCTCATTTTTTTCACTAATGGGTTGATTTTGGAGGTAGCTATTGGAAAGGCTCTGCAAGGAAAGCAGAGGTCTGCACTCTTAATACAAGCAGTAATTTCAGATGCCCACGTTGAAATGTTTTACACATACCTGGTTTTCGAAAAGCGTGTATGCTTCCTTAAAGAAAAACCCAGGGCTTTTAAAAATGGCTCAAATTAGCCCAGAAACCTAAAGAGCCAAAAAAATCTATTATTATTTTCAAAGATTCCTAAGCCCGGCTTCCCCAGCGGTCTTTACCTGGGCTTCAGGGAAATGCACTGTTCAACGAAACGATGCGACGTTAAGGCTCTCACCAGCCCACGATGAGGGAGCTAGCTGGACAGCCTGGCTCAGTTTTTCTTAGCACTGAAATACTTTTTCCAAACCAATACCAAAAAAGGTTCGTTTCTAGGTCAAGACCTCAGTACTAAATTTTAACCAGGGGTTGACAGTCAAATCTGAACACAGCTGTAAAATGGATTCGCGATAGCAGCTCAGACATTCTTTTTCTAATTAGAAAACAGTCATCGAGCCTTGCGCGTCTAAAGGTGAAAGCTATTTTTGACATAAAAATTAGCACGTAGTTCCTCTGTCATCCTTCAGTTGCTGCTCTGGAAGCTGTGAGCGAATGATCCAAAGATAAACAAGTATAAACACACTGAATTAAACAAATAGGTAGAAGGGGATCGAGTTCTAAGTTTTATTCTGCCTGACAATTAGAGAGGAAGAGAGTTATTGTTACACTTACTATTTATCCTAAAAAGCACCAGTAAAAAAAGGTCCACTTAAGCACTGAGACAGACCTCAAAAGCATTTAAAATCTTGGAAGTGCTTTTAATAGCTGCCTTTTGAAAATACTGTTAAATCTATTTTTGAGATGGATAAACTAAGCCACCGATAAAACAAGGCAGGAGTTTTCAGGAGGAGCCAGTGGTGAGAAAGTGTAGTCCACTTCTCGACAACTCGGCTCCCATACAGGGACCCTAAGTGGCAAGATAAAAAAATATCCCAGTACTGGATGGTTTTAAAAACCTGGGCATTCTTCAGATCCAAATTTTCCTTCCTTCCTTCCTTCTTAGGTGGGAATCTAACCCCGAGAGTCTTGAAAATTAACCCCAGGCAGTTTTCAAAATAGTCTCAGAGTGACCATTTCTAAAATAAATGTGAGCGAAGAGCGAGCAGAACTTGGAGGGCTTATCACCACCAGTAATGCCTCCCAGTAATCCCTCGGCAACCCCGGCCCCTTTATGTAACCCGGGATTGCTGCAGCTCAAACAGCTTATTGGGGTTTTGGTGTTTTTCTTTAAACCTCTTGTGGACAAATGCAAACACATTAAATACTTTTTTCTTCTGCTAAAGAGAAAGTTACTGTAAGAGGGGAAAAAAAAAAATCTTTTATTTGTGAACAACGGCAAATCGAATTTAACTCATATGCTGAGAATAACACACGTTTCTCTCTCTCATCTGTTATCTTGACTGAACAGCAATCTTCCCAATTTACAATACTCAGGTATAACTCTCCAACGGCAAGACATAAAAGGTCGAATCCCAAATTTCTCCTCACCCCAAGCACCCTCTGGAAGTGGTGGGCTCTTGCAAATAGAGAAAACAACGTGCCCAAGGTAAACCATTTATACAATTTCCTGGCAGCGCGGGTGGCTGTGCCATCATACTTACTTCCCCGTGGCCCGCTCCCCCGCAGTGCCTCGCCAGCACAGTGCCAGGCACCCGGAGGCTCTCCTTGCCCGGAGGACGAGTTTTCGTGCCATTGATCTGACTGTTGTGACTTTCCAGGGCACAAATCCTTCCAAGGCAAAATTCAACTTTAAAACTTTCAGTCGGTGCTAAGCCATTAACCTAATGCTGAATGCTTATGGAAACTTAAGTAGAAAAAAATAAAACCCCTATTGAACCACTTGCAATCGGAGACCTGAATGGGCTCGATATAAAACCCACTCAAATCAACGGCAGCAATAGGCTTCCCTGGATGTTGGACTAGATCCAGCTTAAAAGTTTCCATGTAATAAACTAGGCTAAGCGCATCAGCTGCATAGAAACTAACTCGGTGTAACAGGAGCATCTGTTCTTCACATCCACCATTTTCTTATAGTCTTAACTCCCCCAGTGCTGCGGTGACATGAGTTGCCACACAGATCACTCATCGCCGTCGCGCAACTACACGTCGTCTCCTGACAGCAGCTGGCCTTACTGCCCCGTTACACTGCGGACGAACCACCGGTTATGAGGTAGCATGCATGCCGTATAAACTTGACCAGGTAGCTTTCGTTTGTCAGAAAACAGCTTAATGTATTTCGTATGATGGCATTACAAAGTGAAATTAATGTCTGTATTGAGACAGCTGAGGAGCACACCTCGGAACCATTTATACACAGTACAAAGCAAATGTTTACCCAAGTACAAATGAAACAGGTTGACAATTAGCTAATGTAGCTTTGTGGACATAAACCAGGTACATTCGAGCAGAACCAACATAAAATAAAAAGGAAACAGCCCTTTTCCTATCCCACGCTAAGAGCACCATGGTTAGTGGTTTGGGAAGCCTCTGTCACGTTGAAAAATTTCCTTGCCGGTGTTTAATGTGTTTATTCTACTGCTACTCTGCTGGGATAAAAATAACATCAGCAGGGCACGCTAGCTGTACGGAGGACCCACTGTCAATACTACAGTAATTGACAACATACAATTAAGTCTCACACCTGTTTATTGTAAGTAATTCATAGATAACCACTTCTAGTACACATTTTCATATTGGCTTTTAATGCTTTTCTTTGTTTTAAGCTCAGGGACACCCAAACTTCATCTAAGGGTCATCTCTGCGATTTACCCAAATCCAGACCCGCTACACCTACCATGTCAAACCGGTGCAAGTTGGTATCGTTGCCACGGGTAACAGAGATGGCTTGGAAACTACACATCCCAACATGCAACGCCCCGCCAGCGCGGGCTGCTCTACGCTACGGGAGGAAGGAGTTCTGCCGGGCTGCGTTCGCCTCACATGCCTCGTTTTGGCCGCACCGGCCTAAGTCATGCAGCTGCCTGCACGCGATGCTCTACACAGTGCAAAAACGAAGACCTCTACACATCTGGAGTCAGAACAGTGGTAACAAAGTCATAGCTACATATTCTTCTCTACATTTTTGTTTATTGAGACAAACTAATTAAAAGGCACAAACATAGGGCATATGTTTACATGGACATTATAACAAACATATACATTAAAAGTGTAGGAATGTGTTTCCTTTCTGCTAAACAGAAAGTTCCTAAGCTTTTATATATACAAAAGTTGTACAATTTGATGTCCTAAAGTACAAAAGATCATTTATAAAATTATTTTACACTAAGCTCTATTTTTTTTTTTTGTTTGTTTTTGTTTTACTATGTAGTCCAAGCCCCTAGAACAGTTTCACGTAATGATACAGATACCTGTCACCTGAGCCAGCAGCCTGGCAATCACTGCTTGTACTGACACGGCAGGGTAGAAACGGAAGCAGTCCATTTTGACTAGTCAGTCCTGCTAGCACTCTGTGAAAATGCGCACACGCTAATCTCCATAGCTTTCAACTTCATTAAGATAAAAACATCTCAACTGTAATTTTATTTTTTTTTTTTTTTAATGTAGAGTCTTGGGTTTAGGGTGGTTGTTTTTTTTAAACAAAGTTTTAAAAACGTGAATATGTGACATGATAGTCTAAAAAGTATATCTGTTTCCCTAGATTTTGCTTTCTACTTTATGTACAGATAAACAGGTTAAGAAATAAAAAGCACATGTAGCTTAAACATGTGTGACCATTTGTGGAGAACTTCTGGGCTGGATAGTTCAAACCATCATCCCAGAACTCCCACAAACTGATAGAAATGTGTTAACACAATAGAAGAATAACGTAAAAATGATGATGTTTGCAAATATTTACAAAGTTGAACAGATTTGCACAACACTTGATTAAGAAATAGGGGAGAAATTAAAAGACGCTCTCTGCTTGTCCTGGAGGGGCATCCTACCTAGTTAGTGGTTAGAATAAAAACTGTATACAATTTAATATAAGACAAAACTTCTAGTGAACAACTAACACGTCTGTCCCCTGCTGTAACACCAGCAGGCTCTGATTGGGAGTCAGAGGGCATAAAAATCATACCCAGTGACTCCATAATCTTCCAGCTTAAAGCAGTATTTCTTAAGTTTCAAAGCACTCCTTTTGCTCCTAGATAAGAGTCCCATAGGGGTCTGACTGTTCAGAGACCATGTTTACATACATTGCGACTCCTCTTCTGTCAGCCATGGCTGTTTCTCACCAAACAGTAACAGTTTTTTTTTTTTTAAAAAATGTTGACTACAATGCTATATTCCCTTAGGGTAATATGTTGGGTAATATTTACATCTCCAAATATCAGGTCACAATCCCTATTATATGTTGAAGTTAGAATGATAAGTTATCATATGCTTTGCATATCAGAGCTGGTATCACCTTTCCCATAGGGAATGCTGCCTGAAATTATCATATTCCCAAAGGTAAAATGCATATTTTCTCCAAAATGCATTTTTTTTTTTTAAATGACAACATTGTAATGCATTTACTTATAATAAAAAAAAAAAAAAAAAAAAAAAACAAAACATCAACACAGACAAAGATTCTACACTAGCTCAGAAACAGTGGACTTAACGACTGGCAAATTAAAATTAGCCATCCACCCTGTTAAAGTTACAGAGGGGTCTTTGCTAGTGTTTAGATTAAAATAATTCTCTAAGTTATAATTTGGGGGATAAAACATAAAACTGTTTTTTAATGACCTTTTTTTTTAAAAAAAAAACCTCTGGCAAATAAGTATCTGCTCTAATTCATCATCAGTCAGCTAAAAGGTAAAACTTACTTTAAATGAAGTGCTCCAGTGAAACTCAAGTTTGAACCATATGAGCCAAATCAACAGGGGAAGATGCTACTATGGTCTCTGATGGTGCATGTTGCCCCAGTGTCTTAGTCTGAATTTATTATTAACTAAAACAAAACAAAACAAAACAAAACAAAACAAAAAAAACCCAACAAAAAAAAAAAAACCAACCAAACAAAACCCAAAAAAAGAACTGCTGGTAAGGATTCCATTTTAATCCTTTTTAATACTGTTTAGAAATTCTTTACCAGGGAGGAGACGTGGGCAAGGCCTGGGGCAGGAAAGGCATGCTCTCTACCGGTCTCATCGCTATATTTAACGGACCAGCTAACGTCATTGGTGTGGGGAGGTTCATGGGAGATGTTATAGTGACTGGATGCGCTATATTCACTGGAGCGGTTACTGGGGTAGGTAAATTGACTGGTGTGGTGAGCGTTAATGGAGATGTCATGGATAATGGACTTGTTATAGTTACAGGATGCCCTAGGTTCATCGGACTGGATATATTAACTGCACTTGATACATTTACTGGACTTCTCATGCTCATTGCAGCTGCCACTGTGACTGGGTTTGTGATAGTCCCAGAAGCCACAGAGGACGTTATATTGAATGGAGTAGTAAGAGTCACAGGCGTAGTAGCAGCAGTGGAGGTTTGGCACAAGTTAGCAGCTTCTAAAAATGAGACATAAAAAGACAAAAAGTTTTTAACACATAAAAAACCATGGACAAGATTTAAAAAAAACAAAAACAAAAACAAAAACAAAACCCAAACAAGAACAGATACAAATTCTGGAATAATTTTCTTTAGGAATTATTAGTAAGTTAAAACTGTTAACATTCTATAGCCTACAAGAAATACAAACTCTCATGCAGTTCATTTCAATTCAATATTTTTTTCCTGAGAAGTCAAGCGAGGTTGTCTTATAAAGAGGGTTTCGATGTTCATAAAAACAGTATCGTACAATCAAAAAAATCCTCCCAAGAGGAACATTATAAATAGAGGAGAGAGTGTACATACCGAATGGTACGTACTCTATAGCCTTCTCAAAGGTGAACTGACATTCTGTGAAGGTTTTAAAAAGTAGTTATTAGGGACTGATAAGCAAAGCTCGTTTCAATATTTACCTGCTTATTTCAGTCTTAATTATTAATACTAAATTGTTCCACTGATCACAGCACTTCTACTTAGCAATTTCCAAGGCTACCCGGTCAGTACATCTTTCAACCCCCATTATCTCCTCAGCTTTCACATAAGCTACAGCTCCACACCAAGTTGTTCTGTTTCCTGGGGTTTTTGGGTTGCTCGGCTTGCCTTTTTTTTTTTTTTTAACTTTCCTCTGCAGTCAGCAGGAATTAAGTGCCGAACTGGGCAGACCCAGGAGGCCAGTGCCCGGGCTTGCTGCCGGAGGGCTCCAGCGGGGCTGGGCCCGGGGGGAGCGGGCCCGGGGGGCCCGGGACGGCGGAGGGATCACTAGGCATCCATCAGCACCACCTGCCGGCTACCCATACTAGAAGGCTCCAAAAACAGAAGCGGGTCGGTGGACGCGGGGAAAGGGAAGGGATGACTGCTAGAGAAACCGACAAAAATATATTCTAGATCAACGTTACAGCACTTCTAAGTCGTGTCTTATTCCACATTTGTAGGGTAGGACACCAAGCTCAGTCTACACCCACGTTTCAGGAGGTAAGCCAGGAGCAAAGAGTCCACTCTTGCCACTCGGGCAATACAAATGTACCAAGACAGAGTTAACTTTGAAAGCAACATTAGCCCCATTCAAGGGTTACTGTTGGTTCTTCAAAGTCCATATCTAGGAGGGGTGGAAAGGGAGGGAAAGAGTGAAGAAAAAAAAAAAAAAAAAAAAAAGAAAAAAAAATTGTGAAAATAAATCATGTTAGACTAAAAAAAATCCCATCTAGTGTTGTAAAGCCAACGCAACAAGTGGCACTAGCACAGGAGAACCAGCATGGGAAGAGTAGCACGGAGGCATGGCACTGACTGCTCTAGCTTCACCTTCCGAGCACCGTCAGGGGCAAAGGCACATCCCACCCCCCGCCCCTTCCCCAGCTGAGTTAAGCTAATACCAATCTGTCAACACCTCTACCCACCCACCTCCCTCACCCACCATTCTGTCCAAACCCACTGTTCCTGTTAAAGCATATTCAATGACCTCAGTAAGAAAGGAAGGGAAGAGGGAACAAGACATAGGAAGGAGCAAGCGGAAAAAAAATTCTGAGATTTTTCTAAATCTGACATCCATTTGCTTTATCTATTTAGTGGCCTGATGATATATAAAGTTTCTGTTATCGCTACACTTTAACATGAATAAGCTGTTTCTACACTGTCTGATCACGGAATTCAATTCAAACTGGAATAACAGTCAAGGTGAAAGTAGCTAGCAGCCTAATACACAGACAAGACCTAGAAAAGAAAAAAAGATTGAAGAAACTGAAAGGAAGTTTAGGAGAAAAGAAAAAAAGGTGAGTCAAAACCACTTATTACTAAAAACAGCTAGAGAAACACGGTAAGTGGTCACTAAGTATTTCTTCTAAAACATGTAATCCACAAGAGTCACATGATAGGCATTAGAAATCAAACTGTTGTGAAAAGAATAAGCTGGCAGTAAACGGGAGGCTTTAAGCTACTACACTCCTAAGGACACTAAATTGAAGCAATCTATTCTTTACAAAACTGACACATTGACCAACAATAGGAAGCTATTCAACTCCAATTACAGTAGCACAGGTATTTGTAAGCTGTGAGCTAGCAATAATGAAAAGCACGATCACTTATTACGTTAATTTTGTAATGGAAAAAAAAAAAACAACGATAGAAGAATCAGTTCTATGAGTTCTAGAAAACTTTATGCAAAGGCAGTTATGTGATGATAAAGCGAATGGAATAAATTGGGAGGGAAAAGACGAAAGGGACACAGAAAGCACCCACATGCAAACTGGTGATGATGCAACGACAGAGGGTGTTGTATGTGTGTGTATATATATATATATATATGCACACAAGTTAACAACTGGTAAATATGCATAAACACAGCTAAAAACCACATGCATGTCAAAAGCAGAGTCTTGCCTTGGAGCAGACACAAACATCCCTTTATAATTGAGGACTGCTACGTACACATTCAAGCAGAGACCAAAGGGAAGCAAGTAATAAGGAGTTCATTTACAACAGTGTACTTTTGGCTGTGTTATCCTCCTGCTAGTTTTTAGCTACTACTTCTAACATTGCGAAATTTTCATGTAAGACATCCTTTTCTGACATCTTAAACTCCCTACATAACTGTAAACTCTAGTATCTTATAAAACCAAGACCATAAGTACTGTTTTGTTTTACCTTTCTTCCTTGCTTTGACAGCCTCTTCCCATAATCTCAGGGTCTCTACCTGCTTTCCAGGCCAACTTGTTACATGTTGCTGCTGCTGCTGCTGTTGCTGCTGTTGCTGTTGTTGTTGCTGTTGTTGTTGTTGCTGCTGTTGTTGTTGTTGCTGCTGTTGTTGTTGCTGCTGCTGTTGCTGCTTCTGATTGCTGGTCTCTTCACTCATGCATGCTATGCCAATCAAGTAAGAACACAAATTCACCTTGAAAAGTTACCATTTTCTGCTGAGATCACAAAGGCTTCTTCCATGAAGAGCGTGTGGAATCTCACAGGATTCCAAGAGCAAAAATCACAGAGGTGTTTAAAACAGTGTAATTAATTCTGTGTTTTATAAAACTACTTTTCCAAGGGCTAAAAAACAAATTGTATGTCAGGAATATCTGCTTTCACTGCCAAAAATGAACTTCCTTTCTGATTATTTTGTTTGTATTTTAGGAGTAATGAAATAAAAGACTACAATGAGACTCTAGAATTCAAGCTGGTTAGCTGATTCCACTTTTTCTAAACCTCAGCTCTTTAAAACCTCGGGTTTTTTTTTTTTAGAAAAAAAAAAAAGCCTTTCTACTTTTTATCTCAAGCATGACTTAAAATTTTCAGTTTACCATTACATCACAGAACAGCATATTACTACTCTCTGGCCACATTACAGCTCGTCATTTCCACCTCTAACAAATGCCTCAAGTGAACTGACTTAGCACCACCAAACTGCCTTGGGAAGCCAGGGCTGTAATCCTATACCTTGGAAAATATTTCGCATCCAAATTTCGTATTACGCTCAACAATCGGGCATTTTAGACATTCCTGGTACCTTCAAATTATCCAGAAGTAACAGGAACTGAAAAGATGCTCTAAGTCAATACTGTTTAAAAGGCTTGAAGGACAAAGTTTCCAAAGACGTTCCTTACTTCTCCCTCCTGATTCCTCTGAAAACCCATTTTCTATCACTAACCATGCGGGTTAACTGAAGTTACGGGTATTTTAATAGGAAAGATTTGAAAGTCAAGTCTTCGTTTGCGTACTAGGCACTCCCTAGGTTCAGGCTTCAGCACTTCCACAGAGTTTAAAACTAGAAGGAACTATTACAAACGTCTCGTTTGAACTCCTGCACACCACCAGTCAAATGCCAGTAATGCCCAAAACAGGGCTGGATTTAAATGCTTTTCTTGTCAGCTACTGCCAGAGGGAGGAATCACTGAGCCCCAGGGTCAAAGCTCAGAGAAAGCAGAGAAATCTTTCTCCTGATTTTGATGAGCTTTAGATGAAGCTTCAAACCTGAAACTTGGCAGATCTTAGCAGTTCTTAGATATTCTAAAATTTCCAGAATTATCTCTTGGACTTTTAGGCTGGGACAGTTCAGGAAGGAGCACTGGAGTTAAAGATGATAAAACCTGGGAACTCTTTTCTTCAAGAGATGGGTTTTTCTCACAAACTGCAGGGCACTCCTAGGGGATAAGAGCACAGTCTAGCAGCAAACCAATTCCACATATGCCAATTCTTGAGCTGAAGAAGATCCTGTTATCAGCTACCTATTTTTAATAGGTGTGAAAACCCAGACTGATGGGTATGATTTTGCATCTTAACGCAATCAAAGGCAATTCCCTTTGCAAACACATTGTTATTATAAATGTTTTTAAAACGTTCACCTACTTTTATTGATGCCTTGTTTACAGGTATTACAGTTGATACTTTGGCTCTGCCCGTGTGTCTTTAAGTGGCTGGTGATATATGCTGCACTCAGAAGTTTACCACAGATATTACACGATACCTTTCCTTCATGGCGCACCATGTGTGTCCGCAGTCTGTCTTTGGTGGCAAAGGCAGCAGTGCACGTCTATATGAAGGACAACAGTTACACTTGAAGTGCAGACAGCAGCAGTACAGTAAGAATTACATGCCCACTGTAAGCTATTTTACCTTGTGGGTGCAAACAGTATCCTAAGTATATTGACAACCTGAAATTTTACCTGTATTTATAGAGAAACCAAAATCAAACTACTGAACAGAGGTTGAAAATGGAAGTTGGCTTCTGAGACAATTAGGGCAAAAATCATACTCTATATTACTTGAGCTTTCATAAAATAGCAGGTTGCCTTACCTACCAAAGCAAGAGGTAACTTGTAAAAAAAGCCTAGAACAGGCAAAGCTGGGGGGTTTTGACACAATTTTTACTGTACAAATATGAACTTGATATCTTAAATTGCTCAATTATTTCTGTTCCCATCCAAATCAGAACAAGGAAACGAAACCTTTCTCTAACGCTATTCTTTTTACACAAGACTTTTATTTAATGTGATGAGTCACTAAAAAACGAGTTGGAACAAGCATGGGTATTCCAAGCAAAACAGTTAATTGTTCAAGGGCAGTCAAGTTATTTCTCTTACACTCAGTCATCAACTTACGACAACTTGTTTTCACCTTCCAGCAAAGTAACGGATCCAGAATCAACTATTCCAATCCATTTTAAATGGATATACTGAGAAACACATTTAATTTAAATATGCTGAGAAACACATTGCGCACATTACTCCAGTAATCAGCCCTGAGCTGAGGACGCTGTTACAATCCTACTGCTAAGTTAAGCGTATCATAAAACAGAGTACCTACGTTGTTCTCCAAGAGAGCAAAAAGCCTCTAATCTTCCTAAAAAAAGTAGCCACAGCATCCTTTTAAACTGCCACCACACTTACATCACAACTACAGTGCTGCTGGTATCTAAGGCGGATGCAACTTATTCTTAAACTTGCTTTTCAAAGAAAAGTAAAGGAGCAAATACAGTTCTGGAAAGTGTATTCACCCAAGATTCTAATGATACAATAAGGTACTGTTCTTAATAAATCATTTTAGCCCTTACTTGGCATTTGAAGGGTCTCTCTGTTGAGTGAACATGTTTAACGTGACAGCTTAAATGATCAGGCCTGCAAAAAAGAGGAACAGAGAAGAAAATGCATACTGTTACAAATACATAGTAAGGACACCTCGGATAGCGGTGCTGAACACTGCGCTGATGACCCCTCGCAGCCCACATCCCTCTGCATGGCAAGAATAAACACATTCCCCTTACCTAGGCAGTGGCTTTCAGCTAGAGTAAGTAACACATAGTTACGCTGAGACCCAACCTGCAGTTTAAAACTTAACCGTGTTCTTCTCACACACCAGAAAATGGTACGTTTGGTCGTACCTCGTGTAAAGGTGACAGATCAACAGCTCTAAAGGTTGAAGTTTTCTCTGTTGCAAGCACAGATATAAATACAGCCAGCAGCAATGCAAGCTCCCCCACAATGCTCTGTCAGTACGCCTCAACCTCGCTGCGAGACAAGGAGACGGTTTGCCTGCCGTGCCCCATTCGGTCACCGATCTTTGCAAAGGCTGGGGAAGGGGCTCCGTGGTCGCCACCGGTGACACGGACACGTGTCCTAGGGGACCCGGATGAGGTCGCGAAATCATTTCACAACACTCTCATAAAAGAGCGACCGCTTTTGGCCACTGCCAATCTGGCTCAGACCGAGACCCACGCCCTAGAGGTAAACAAGGCTCTTTATCCCCTCACCAATCTTCTAAGATGTCTGGTTCTCCTAGCCCCTCGCTATGATAGCTTAACCCTTCTTGGTTATGAAAAGCCAATACTTGAGCTCGCCTGGGATTTTCTACATGGTACCTCGAGAAGCCTTTTCCACAAACACCACAGGTGTATGGTTTCGTGATGCCACCTTCGTGAGACCTCACGTGGTAGGTCATGCGATCCTTTCTCTTGAAGCGCTGATTGCAAATTGGACATTCAAAGGGTTTTTCATCTGAGTGGGACAGCTTGTGCCGGTTGAGGTGGTAGACATCCCTGAAGGCCTTTCCGCACATCTCACAAGCGTGGTTCTTCTTAACGGGCTTGCTGGGCTTCTTCACCGTCTGAGTCACTGCCATAGCCGTTGCGCCGGCACTACTGCTGGGGTTGGTGGCAGAGGAAGACGTAGTGACCGTGGACAGGATGCCTGCGATAGTCGAAACCAATGAACTTCGGCTGTTGTCACCAGCGATGGTCGAGATAAGGGGCACCATTGTGGTGGGAGTTTTCTTTGGCCGTGACACTAACTTTATCCCTGTGTGGCAGGACTCGTGACGCCTCAAATGGTAGCTGTCCCTGAAAGCTTTGCTGCAGTAAGTGCACACAAAGGAGGTTTTAGGTTTTTCCTTTTTAATCCCAACAATAGCATCCTTTAACGTTTCTGGTGCAGGCTGAGGTTTCTGCGTTATTGGTAAGGGCAGAATCGGCTTCTGATCGGGTGGCTCAACAGCAGAGCTCAGGAGAGGCAACAAACTGTTCTGTGCTGCCTGCTGTTGGTGATGTGAGGCTTCGTGTGCCTAAAACCAAACAGTCACACTTAAATTCTATTGATGGGTGCTCACTCTGACACGGTGAGAACATTTACAAACTACAGGAAAGCACATTCTAGACCAAAAGCCATTGAAAGAACAACTGGAAAAGGTTACATAATTTTGTTTTTGGACAGGATAAACCACTCGCGCTTTAAATGCATTCGCTGTGCAGATTCTGTGGTAAGTGTAGGAAGGCACACATCATAACAATCAAATAATTATTAAGTTTCCGGAGGGCAACATTTCTTATGGAAAACAACTAGGTACATGTCAGATCTCTTACTAACACAGCGTTTGATCTTTACGTAACAGATAACTTGTTTTGCTAACGATCATATCAGATGCCACCTTGGGACTATCTTTGGAGCGTACGAATGCACTGATGGGAGCTGCAAAACACCGCCCCACCTTTAGGCCGAGCTTAGTGCACGTTGACAATTAAACTGCAGCCACAGAAAGCCAGGATGCGATAAGGTGTCTTATTTAAACAACGTGTTCATACCAGTGTGCGAGCACTGAAACCAAAGCAACTTGAATCGAGGGGTGTCTAAAGCCACATTTCTACATTTAGCAGGTTCCTGCTGCATTTATAACACTGACCACAGTGCTCTCTGCGTCTGGAAACTAGTAATAGCAGCAACATGTCATTTCTCCCTTCGTCAGCAGCTACTTTGTGATAGGAAGAGAAGCTAATCGATATGCACTGGCAGACACCTAGAGATGCGGGAGAACACAGTTTGGGGAGCAGGGAGGGTTGAAAAAAGGACCTGAAAGCTGTTTCAAAACAGCCAATACCAACTGACTCTGAACTCCGGAATCAGCGGGAGAAGCTGAAGGGAAGAGACAGAGGGGGACAACCCCCCCCCCCCTCCGCCCCGAGTGCCGCAGCCAGCGCCGCTTGGCTGAGCTGCAGCCTGTCCTACAGCGTGCTTGTGTTAGGAGCTGTTTATTCTAAGCCAGAAAACACTGTTACTCAAACTCATCCAGTCAGACTGGGACAAAACCCTAGCAGATACTATTTTAAAGTGGTTTAGAAACCACACAGACCAATTCAGCCTAATGGAGCATTAAAATAAATCGCTCTAGCACCTTAAGCCAGTTTAAGCGCATCTGTATTCAAGATGTGCCTCAGTCTCATCAGACCAGTTTTAAATCAGTCTCATTATTAACGCAATGTGCCAGGTCTGAAGCTGAGTTTGGGGAAACTTGTATTCCCATTAGGTCGGTACCACAAGCCTTCCAGGACTTCTTCCCTATGGTTTCCTTCACAAAATAACAAGAGTCGAGGCTGCGAGAGCCGAGTTAAAACGCTGTGCTGGCTCGCGATCCCCAACCTGTCTACTTCTACATGGGCTGAGGACGGACAGCGTTACGAAGCGTGCTCAGGCTAACACTCCTCCTACTTGAATCCACGCCACTGCGTCCTTTGGAGGAGTCAGTATTTCTAGAAGCTCACTTGGGGACTTCTTCTCAGCTGCATCCAGGCTCCAGGCCGCTTTGCCTCTCCCGACAGCAGCAGCGACTACAGCCACCTGGGTTGCAACTCGCCCTGGGCTGCGGGGGCGTCCCGCCTCCTCCTGCCATCGCACAAGCCCTGCATCGCTCCAGCCACTCATTTTTCAGGAGCGAGACGCCGGTGATCTTTGGATAAAAGCCACCGGTGGATACAAACACTAACCCACGTGGGTAGGAATACGTGCTCCCTAACACTGCGAGCCTATCTGACAGGAAAACAGCTCACGGGAGAGAGCCCGGATTCGGTACAAGAAACGGGAGACAAAACCTGCGGGAACCAGGCCAGCCTGTCCGTCTTTATCTGCGCGTTACGTCCCACCGGTGCGGAAGCTTGGGATGCAACAGGTAGGCTGAACATTGCCACACCGTGCCCGGCCACAGCAGCCACCTCAAACAACAGCTTAAGGGGCTGGTTTGCAGAAGTGCTCGCTGAAGGAGTCGAATGCAGAGCTCTCCTGGAGGCTACGCTGCTTAAATCAGCGCCCGGCCCAAGCTCTGGCATCTCCATTAAACTTTTGCCTGACTTCAGTGACAATTGTGGATTTTCAACCATTTATTTTCCGTGTTTTTAAAAGAGCCATTGAGACATCTACATCGCATAAAAAGAATAGAGTATGTACAATACACATCGAAAGTACAATATTAAGCAAGTTGGGTACTTAAATACAATTTTAATTTTAAAAAAATTCTGAAATGTTTTACAGCCAACTTTAAATAAGCATTAAACAATGTTGTTCAACTGCATCAGAAGACACTTAAGAGCACCTAAGGATAGCTCCAGAGATACAGTTTCAAAGGCAGAGCTAACAGATCGGATAATAGAGCCCAAATCCTTTGGACAAGGTTCAAACTCATGCAGTTTATGGATATTTTTAAGCCTTAAAGAATCGTCAGCACTTCAAGGTAATGATGCACTTATTCCTACGGAACCGAGAGAGACAGTGGACATAAAACAATGTATATTCATAAGGCTACAGGCTACGAAGCCACTGCTTATATAAGTCTGCTTATCTTGGTTCCCAGATAGCCAGTGTTATTAGCAGCGCTGTCTTTCTAACAACCCCTCTTTGCAACAAGCGGTATTCCTCAGTTTCTGAGGGCTGCCTGCATTAAAGCCTTTTAAAAAAGGATCAGGTAGTACTTTTTTTTTTTTTTTTTTTTTTTAAACTCGCTGTTCAAGAAGGGAAGACAGCACCTGCTGCATGCCTCTCGCAAGTCATTTTTATGCAGGCACAGACCACGGTTTTACTTGACCTAGCATTAATGTCAAGTCAACATTTTTGTGATATTTTGGTCACCTGGGACAGGCTCTCATGCAAAATACCCTCGTCCTATCACTACTTTTTTCTTTCCTGGGGGGCAGTAAACAAAAAAACCCTGCGATCCGTGACCCGGAGTGGTAGGATGTGGCACTGTGAACTTCCAATGCCAGAGGCTAAAATATTTTTGCGCTCCAGCCTTAATGTGAGAGCAACAAATTAGCATGAGTCATATCTTGAACACTCTGTTTGATGGATGATTCCTCCTCACATTAACAGATACAACTTTCACTTTCCCAGCAGATACTAAAAGTGGGTTTCAAAATACGCATTTCAGGGACTAATAAGATCCAAACAAGAACTGCTTATTCAGTATCACAATTGTTTCTTTTAAAAGAGATACAATGCATCAAAATGCCACCTAAACACAATCAAACATCTTTATTTGGACAGAGCAATTTACAGTCACATATCCCATTGCTAGCAAGACTAAAATTAAGACATTGCAACCTCCACTAAAAACATTTTGCTAAAAATTACAACTTTATACACCGCGTGTTAAACTGTCCCTTAGAAATCCTGTCACAGCTGAGACACAGACTTGGTAAAACTCCCCCTGCGAAGAATGAGCATGTATATTCAGTCACTTGCGTTTGTTATTTAACTGATTCCGGGGAGGGGGGCCGGGAGGGGCTTTTAAATCCACTTTTTGTTACTAGTTTTACCTAATCAGTTGGATCTTGGCTGACACGCTGCTGGTGAGAACGGGAAGAAGGAAAACTAAAAAGTCCCATCAGGAGTATCTTAACAGTGCTGGGTGCGTCAGGATGCTCGCACCCCAGTTGGTTGAACAAAATGACTCAAGAAACAATATTCAGCATTTAGTATGAGGTCTTAAAGCTTTATTATATGGGGGGAAAAAAAAAAAAAAAATTTCCACGTCACTTTCATGAAGACGATTCCAAGTCACAGATAGCTAAGTACGTTAGGAAAGTGAACTGCTGACTCCTTAATTAAAAGCAGCAAAGCCTACTCCTAAATCAAAGCATGACATCGCTATTTCAAAATTCAGTACCCTTCAAAAAAAAATAAAGATGGGCAGCAAGAAGCTGGACACGTACTTGAAAGTATTACTTGGCATTTCTTCCAGCGGTTGCTGCAATACCGTATTGCCAGCCTGCAAATAATTTCCCCTCGACAACTCTCATCTGCGAGCCTGAGAGGCAGGAAAGCGATAAAACGGCCCCAACTCGGAGGGAGATGGCCCTAAACTAAGGAGATTAACTTCTTAGCGTGAAGTTTCCTATGTGCGAATCACAACTGCCCACTAGAGTGAGAAATAATTCACAAGACCTCAGCCAAACGCGATGGCATCACCCGCATTCATCACGAAAAGGCGGAAAACCCAGCGCCCAGCTCCCGGTACCGGCTCCCGGAACATTCCCGGCGTGTTTTCGGAGGCAAGAGCACCCGAGCCAGTGACTCACCCCTCGGTACTTGCAAGGGAATAATTTTTCCTCTCTAAAGGAATGGTGCTCGCTCTTGGCGGATTTATTCATTCAACTCAGGTTTTCAAACTCGTGTCACGGGTTGGGTTTGGGTTTAATTCCGAGGAGGACAGTGAGTAAGCGAGTGACCGCCGCTGGGAATGTGCAAAGAGGATTATTTTACCTTGAGAAAGGTGATGTGTGGGGCTTTTTTTTTTTTTTTTTTTTTTTTTTTTTTTTTTTTGCTGCTGTTGCTGCAATTACACATGTTATGTTTTCAAGCTCAAAAAGAGCAGGAGGCATCAGAAAACAATCCGGCATGAAAGGGCTCAGCTCACAAAAGCATAGGGAGGATTTTTTTTTTTTTTTAATTTTTGTTTTTGGTAGCCCGGATTTTCTTCAGAATTACATAAACAGCGGTGTTTTTAAGTCCTTCTTTCGCAGACAGAAAGGGGGAAAATTGTGACTCAGTTGGCAAAGGGAGGGGTTGCACGCTCCACCGTCCCTATTCCTATTACCGTTAGCATTTCGCCAATTTTTACAGAAATCCAGCCCGCTCGCGTCCTATTTTAAAAGAAAACAAGCTCCCTCGTCACCCGGCCCCTGAGTCAGGCTGTTTAAAGACGGATTAATTTATTCTCCCAGACACGGTGTTTGTTGCATCGGGGTTTTGTTAGAGCTCGGTGGAAGGTTGGGTTGGTGGGGGTTTTTTTCCGTTTTTTTTTTTTTTTTTTTTTGTGGGGGGGGGGGGTGGTTGGTTTTCTTTTTGGCGGGGTGAGAGAAAAACAAACAAATAATAATAATTATTATTACTATTATAATAAAAAAGCTGTTTCGGGAAGGAAGGAAAAAAATTTTTTAAATTTAAAAAAAAAATAGAATAAACATTAGAGGGAGGATTGTTTGTCTGCTTTTTTGGGGTTTTTTTTTTTTTTTTTTTTGGCAAAAGGAAAAACGCTCCGGGGCGGCGGCGAAGCGCCGTGCGCGATCAGCCCCGGAGGAGGCGGGCGGGGAGAAAGTGCAGGAGGGAAAGGAGGGAAAGGAGCCGGCGGCGGGCGCGGGGCCGGAGCAGCCGCTGCCCCGGGAGGGCCGGGCCGGGCCCCGCCGCCGCCGCGGGCCGGGCCGGGGGAGGCGGGCGGGAGGCCGGGCGGCGGCGCTGAGTGACAGCCCCGGCCTAGCGGGGAGCCCGGCGGGCGGCCGCCCGCCCGCGGCCGCTGAGGGGAAAGAGGAGGGGGGGGGGGGGGGGGGGGGGGCGCGGGCAGCGCCGGCCGCCGCGGGGCCTCACCTGAAAGAGGAACGCGGTCCAGTTGGCCTCCATGGCGGGGGCGTCCCGGCCCTCGGCGGGCGGGCGGCGGCGGCGGCTCCGGCGGCGCGGTCCCCCCCCTCCCTCCCCCGGGCCCCAGCTACATGGAGCCGACAACAAAGCGGCGGCGGCGGCGGCGGCTCAACATGGCAGCGCCGAGCGGCCGCTTCCGCTAACCTCCGGGCTGCACCACTGCGGCCCAGAGGGGGGAGGCGGCGGAGCGGCGGCCCGGCGGGGCGGCGCGGGTCTCCACCGCCGCGGCGCCGCCCCCGCCGCTCCCCTCGCCTCGGAGCGGGCGGCGGAACCGGAGCGGAGCGGCGGAGCGGCGGGGCGAGCGGCGGGGCCGGGGCGGCGCGGCGGGCCGGCCGCCCCCCCCCCCCCCGCGGGGCTGGCAATGGGCCGGTCCCGGGCTTGGGGAAGCCGAGGCGAGCTGTGGCGAGAGAAGATGGAGGAGCGGGCGAGGTGTCCAGGGCCGCCGCCGCCTCCTCGCCGCGCCCCGCCGGGGGCCGCCCGCCGCCGCCCAGCCCGCCCGCCCTCCCCTTCTCCCCTCCCCGCCCGCCGCCGCCCCCGCCCGCCGCGCAGGGAGGGAGCCGCGGGGGCGGCGGGGGGCGGCTTCGCCCGCGGGTGCGGGCCGGCGGCCGCACATGCCGCCCCGCCCGCCGGCGGCAGCGCCGGGACCGGCGGGGGCGGGAGGGAAGCGGGGGGGGGGGGTGTGTTCGGGGCGGGAGGGGGTGTGTGTGTGTGTGTGTGGGGGGGGGGGGGTCGCCTGGCTCCATCCTTAACCCACTCACGGACCGTCCTCAACCCACCCGGGCGGCCGCTGCCGCCTTCACCGGGCTTGGCCCGGGGCTCCGCCGGTGCGGGGCTGCGGAAAGGCGGCGGGGGGGGGGGGGGGGGGCCGGTCCCTTCATTAGTACCCCGGAGCGGGGCTCCGCCATCCCCCCGCGGGCACGGAGATGCTCCCACTCGGGTTCCACCGGGCTCTGGGCTCGCGAGGCTGGGGGCCCCCCCACTCCCCCGGGCAGGCTTCCCCACACATGACAAAGTTGCAAACTGACCGGGTTTCCTTCTATCGAAAGCATCTTCAGCGCAGCACCTGAATGCAAATCAAAGCCACAAGCAATTAAGTATATACTTACCGTTAATTACGTGTTTACACACAGCAAGCACATCCCTGACAGGCGGCAGGACGGGGGGGGCCCCGAGCTTCCCCGCTGCTGCTCGCGCCTCCCCCCGGTGCTCTCGGGGGGGACGGGGAAGGGTGTGGGGGGCACAGGGTGGGTGCAGGGGTCCCTCGGGTGGCATCTGCGGGCAGTTCTGCCCTTTCTTCAGCAAACACGGCGGGGGAAAAACCGGGAGCGCGGCGGCTTAAACGCTGCTGCACCAGGGAGAGGGGTGTTTTAAAACCAGGCTGCTCACAAACAGGGACCATCTTCCCTGAGGCCGGGGGAGATGAGAACAGGCTTACAGGACTTTATTATTTCTTTTTTCCCCTGGCTCTGTTCAATCCTCTTTGTTTCAAGCCCGGATCGGCGCTGAGCCGTGCCGCGGACCCGAGGCCTCGGCCGCTTCGCCAAAAACACCCGGCGGGTCCGCGCAGCTCGGCCTCCGTCAGCGGGGTTAGAGACGGCTCACGTCGATGAAATTTCCCCTATTACTTCCTCGCGGGAGAGCCGGGTGGTTTTTCTTGCCTCCTGCTACAGATAATGCAAAGCCTGGTCCCAAAGCCCCAGCCCAGCGTAACGCTGGTGCTGCAGCCCTGGGGAGCAGGGACCGGCCGTGGGCAGAGGACTCAGCGGGGGTCCTGAGCCCACCCACTCGGCCGTCGCCTCGACCGATCTCGGGCGAGTCACCTGGCTCCCTCGGCGCCGGTCCTCGGCCCTCCCTGGGCGTTTCTTCACTTGCCAAGGGCGTTGCAAAACAGTGGTTGTTCTGTTTGGAGTGACGCTGGTGGTTGTTTCACACCTCTCGGGCTATCTGCTAGCTTTTCTCCTCGAAACCCCAGCGCCCGAGTCGAGTGATTACGTCAAAATTGGGTTTGCGTTTTGTTTTTTTTTTTTTTTTTAAAAATGGTTTCCCGGCCTTGTGACCCCAGAGGAAAGTTTGTGTGTCCAAGGGGGCTTGGCTGCCTGGAGTGGCCCAACCTGCTCAGGGGCACGCGGGGCTCTGAGAGTCCGCCTGCCTCGGGGAATTTGGAGCCAGCTTGTTTTTGACCCCCCCCATCTGCACCGCGGTAGACCTCTGCAGCGCTGGGAACGTGCAAAACATCACCCTTACCCCCTGCAGAAGCTCCGTATTAAGAAAAAACAAAACAAAACAAAACAAAACAAAACCAAACCAAAACAAAAAATGAGTCAAAGGAGTTTGCTGGTGCACGTGCACCACGTGCTCTCGGCCGCTGCCGGGATCGCGCCGGCCCAGCTCGCCCGTAGACGGTTTGCTCTGCTCGGTGGAGATGCTGGTCCCAGCCGCGGCGCAGCCACCGGCGGAGCAGGGGCTGCCGGGGAGCCGAGAGAGGAAACCCACGCTAGTGGAGAGGGGGACACCACTGCCGCTCCTGGTTATTTTCCTCCCGCTCGGTCAGTTATTTTTGTTAACGCTTATTAATGAAGACTTGGGAGAGCTCTCTTTGTTAAGGGCTCACACTCACTTCAATTAACGGCTAAGAAAACCACCCAAGCGTATCACTGAGTCATCGAAGAAATCCTGATGAGCACGTAGGAGGCTAAACGCCACGTTCGTCTTGTTTTTACAACCAAAGAACCAAGAGGGGATACGGGAACGAAACCTAGGAGGCTCAAAGCCTTCTTCCTAAGTCGGAGGAGAGGGAAACAGAGCTGAAGCCCGCTGTCATCTCGACGGCGTCCGGCTGAGCCCTCCCAGCCCCACTCGCACCCCGGACACAGCCCGCAGCGGGGCAGCGATCGCCGGGAGAAAAGCTGCGTTGGGAGCAACGCGAGCCAAGGCGCTGCAGAGGATCCCCGGGGGGAGAAGGAGCTCTCAGGAGCTGTATTTATAAAGGGCAAGTCTATGCCAAGCCTGACGAACTTTCCTTTACCCAGAATTATAACTGGAAATACAAAAAGCCACAGTGTTTGAAAACACATATTTACATTATATATGCCCCAAAGCAGAATAAACAAAGGTTAGATTTGTAAACTCTCCATCTTAATTAAAGCAGCACTGCTTTGGACAAACCCACATAACAGGTGGCTCGGAGTGTTGTGTTTTTTAATTTATACCTTCCAGCTCCCTTAGTCATCAAGCTGGGACAGCGATAGCATCAGCAGCCACCCTGCTGCTGCTCTGGTCCCCACGGCGAGTGTGCAAAGGGAATTTCTAGGACACCGGGAACCGTGCGGCCCATTTACCACCGTCCTGAGGCTGCTCCTCCCTGCCTTTTCAAACAAAAATCTTCCCTCCTTTCTTCCTCAGCACTTCCCACGTTGTTGGGAAGGATGGAAACGCTAAAGGGGTGTCCCCTGCCTCCAGCACCAGTGCCGAGGCCGGTTGCAGGGAGCTTTGGGGGGGAACAAGGGCAGTGATGCCCACGAATAATTTGTCAAACCCCCCTCGAGGAACAGCTCGGAGAGAGAGGAGCTGTTTCCTCCACCATACTCAGCCACGAAACAGTTAATAAAGTGCTTATTTGCTCAGGCGCCATTAGCTGTCCTGCCTGCCCCGGGAAGCCAGGCAGGGCAGGGGGATGCAGCTCCCCTCCATGAACCCAGCAGCCCTGCAGGGACCACCTAAACTCTATCCATTTTACCCCGTTATCCTCACAGAAGCCCCCCCTGTGCGTCAGGACCTGCGGTGGGACACCAGCGATAAAACCATAACCTGCTTTCCTGCTGCCTGCGCATCTCCCACGGTCCTGGAGCGGGTGAGTTGGGTTGGGCGAGGGGCACCCACGCACCCTCCTCCCCCAGGACCTCCACAGCACCTTCCCCCAGCCCCTGCCTGCCCGCCTTGCTGCCGCGCCGTGCTCCGATTTCGCTCGGCGAGCGTGTGCTTGCATCGCTAAGAATAGAAAACGTTGTCAAATATTTCAGCTTTAGAGGAGCCCCATTCTGTTTGTGCTCTGCTCCCCGAGCGGCGCGGCAGGCTTTGAATTTCACAGCTCCACGGGGCTGAAGAGCCCTCGAGAGTGTAAATAAGCTGCGACATTACTGAGAATGTGCTCCCCGCAGGCAGTTTCCCTTTAGCTGCTTCCCAAGTTTGTGTCTTCTCTGGTTTCTCTCTTCGCAGCCTCGACTTCCCCCTCAAACTGATCAGGGAAGCTAAAAAGAGACAGTGAAATACGTCAGCGGGAAGCACACACTGAAGCAGAGCGTGCGCCCGCTGCGAAGGCTCAGCCTCCCCGGCAGCACGGCCATCCCATGCTCCCAAGAGCATCCCACCAAAAAACATCCCACCGCATCTCTCTGCCCAGCGCCCGCCGGCAAAGCGCATCCC